GGGGTGGTAGGGGTAGAGGCAGAGAGAGAGAGTGAGAATCCCAGGCAAGCTCCCTACAGTCAGCGCAGAGCTTGATGTGGTGCTCGATCTAATGAAACTTGACATCATGACCTGAGCCAAAATCAAGAGTCGGGTGCCTAAGTGACTGAGCCACCCAGGAGTCCCAGGTGTTTCCAATATTTTAAAATTATGAACAAGGCTGCAGTGAACAACCTTATGCATAGATATTTAGAAGTGGAATTGCTGGGTCAGAAGGTAAACGCAAGTGAAGTTTTTTGAGACATTACCTATTTCCCCTCCATTTAACACATCTACCAGCAAAGTAGGCATGTCTATTTCCCCAGAGTCATCAAGAGCGTAAGCTGTCAAGCTTCTTCATGTTTTTCTAATCTGAAGGGTGAGAAGTAGTTTTTTTTTTAAGTTTTTTTGAAAAGTAGTACAGCTTATCCGGCTTCTCCCAAGGATAACGTGCCACATAACCAAAGTGCAATGGTCAGCGCCAGGAATTTGACATGAACACATCACTTTTCACTAAATCACAGACCTTATTCTGATCTCCCCAGTTTTTACACGCACTCAAAACTTCTGGTGTATATTTTATTGAAATTTTATCCTCAATGTAGCTATAATTTGGGTGTCTCTTATGGCCAATGAAGTGAGCATTTTTCATAAGTTTAAGGATCATTTTTACATCTTTTTTCATCAATTGTTCACATTTTTGTCCATTTTTCTATCTGGTTTCCACATTTTCCCCCTTTCACATTTAAAGAGTTCTTCATACATTAATGATATTAGCCTTTATCTATAACATATGTTGCACGTATTTTCTCTTTGTCAGTTAGCTGTCTTTTGACTTTGCTTACGGCGTTTTCCACGTGGAAAAGTTACAGAAGATTTTATGTACTCAAATGTATTGATCTTTTATCACATCTGGATTTTAAGTCATAGTTGGAAGGCCTTCCCCCCCCCCCCGCCCCCACACACAAGCTATGGAGGAATTCACCCATATTTTTTTCACCACTTCTGGTTTTGTTATTTACATCACGTTCTCATCATTTAGGAGTTTGTGTTTGTGTATGGTGGGAGGAGTGGATCCTGGGTCAGATAAGTACATAGAACAAAATATTAGCCATAGATGGCAGGCACACGGGTATTTGCCACGCTTGCACCTTTTCTCAAGGTTTGACAATTTGAAAGATAAACAGGGGGCAAAGCGAGCGAGGCAGTTGGCTTAGGGGGACAGGGGCGCCGGGGCCCTTTAAGACGGGCCCCGCCCACCCCGGAAGAGCTCGTCCAAGCCCCGCCTCCCACCGCGCTCCGCCTTCTCCCCGCCTGCGCCGGCCTAGCCCTCCGCCGCCGAGTGCAGTCACGTGAGCCGGGCTGCGGTGCCCCGGTCCGCGCCGTCATGGTGGCCCCGATGTACGGCTCCCCCGGCGGCCGCCTGGCCCGGGCGCTGACGCGGGCCCTGGCGCTGGCCCTGGTGCTGGCCCTGCTGGTCGGGCTGTTCCTGAGCGGCCTGACGGGCGCGATCCCGATCTCGGGGCGCCAGTGGGGGCCCGACGGGCCGGTCCCACCCGCCTCCCGCAGCCGCTCGGTGCTCCTGGACGCCGAGACCGGCCAGCTCCGACTGGTGGATGGCCGCCACCCTGACGCGGTGGCCTGGGCCAACCTCACCAACGCCATCCGCGAGACCGGGTGAGGGTTGGTCCGACTCCGCGCGGGACCCGCTGAGGGAGGGGGTTGCATGGACACCGGGCCTCTCGCCCGCCCCTAGAACCGGGCCCCTGTCTCCCCGAGGGTCACTTTTCCCGCCCCTGAGACTGCAGCACAGCCATCCGGACCGGATCCCTGGGGCTAATGCAGCATCTCTCAGCTCATGGAGACCAGTCCCTGGCCTTGAGCCAAAGGTGACAGTACCTCTGTTACCCTAGAGACCAGATCCCTGCCACCCAGGCCCCAGTGACTCCATCTGGATCAGGTCCGCGGAGCGCCGCCCCCCTCCCCCCATCTTGGGCCCGAAGGCTGGTGATAGCTCTTCAAGAGAGAAACTCTCATCTCACTTCCTTGGTTGTGGTGGCTTACCCCATGGGTGCCAGCTTCCTGCCTCTGTTCTAGAACCAGGGCAGCGGGACTGAGCCTAGATTGTAGGCCAGTGGGAAAAGCGCGAGGTCCCTAAATTCACATAGACCCAGATAGTATGTTTGCTTGGGCTCTTCTCCTTTCTCTCCTCTCTCCCGGTCCTCTCTCCTGATCCTCCCTCCTCTCTCCTGGTCCTCTCTTGCTTGGCCAGATAGTATGGAGCCAAGTGCTCGGTCCTTGGTAGTCACGATTGCTGTCCTTATCGCCGGGACCCCGGCTGTCGTTCTGACTCCCTTGCTTGTCTGGGCTCCCATTTCTGTGATTCAGATTTTGGATGTGCTCCACCGGGAGGTTGAGTGGTACCCTCTCAGGCCCTGTACCAGGGCTTGTGCCCATTCATTCATACATTCACTCACCTGATGTACTTGGCTTTGGGGACACAGAGCTGAGCAAGGTGAGGGTCCCGATTCAGTGGGGAGGCAGACAGTGCCAGGAGCGAAACCTGAGCCCGTGGGCGGGGGAGAATTGCCTAAAAGCCTTGTCAGCAGGGCTCAGGCCCTGGATCAAGGCTGTGTTGGGGATCCTAGTGAACCCTAAGTTCCCCTCTACTGCCCTCCCACTGCCCCCATCCACTTTGCTGGCATGCATTAATTCCTGCAGGTGTTGGGGAGATACAGAACGTGGGAGACACCCCCATTCTGGTGCTTTGTGGGACTTGGGAGGGTATCCGGTAGACAGAGGGGACATTGTGAGGAAGGATTTGCTGCAGACACAGCGGGTGGGGCTAATCTGGGAAGGCTCCCAGGGAGAGGAGGCCACAGGGTGGGCTAGAGTCTATGGCAGGAACTAGGGCTCTGTGGCTCTGTGACTCTGGAATCTGGTTACACTTTCTCTGCTGACTCATACGTGTTTTGGGCCCTAACAAAGCCAAGAGGGTCTGACAAATCTCTGCCTGAATGCTGGCGAGGAAGGAGGCACAGAGGTGAGGCCCCGCATAGGGCGGGGGCTTTGTCTTCAGGAGGCCCCCACTGGGCTGTGTTGCTCTGAATTCTGGAAAACAGACGTGGAGAGAGGACTTCCTTGATTGTGCCGGATGGAAAGGTCTTTCAGGCCCAGCTCCTTTGCTCTGCGACCTTTGCTCTGTGAAGGGTAAATCCCTTCACCTCTCTGAACCCATTCCTTCCTCTGAAAGGAATGGGGGGGGGAAATTCAGTGGGGTCACAGAAAGCACCTCTGTTTACTGAAAGAAGGAATGAGTGAAAGAAAGGAGCAGGTGCCCTTTGCCCCATTTTATAGTTGGGGAAACTGAGGCCTAAGGCAAGAGGCCAGGTCTCTTCTGTACTTCTCGCTCTCACCTCCCCTTTCCAGCATCCTTTCGGTCCAGTCTTCCCATTTAGCACTTGGGACCATGATGTAGGGAGAACTGTATCAGAAGCAGGGAAACTGAGGCCCTTCAGAACAACCTCTTAGAACTCAGAGGTGAGACGCACTACATGTGGGGTTTCCTAGTCCCCGATCAGCAGAACCGCCGAGTTGTGGGTGACTGTCTCATTTTTCCAAGGATGGAGGCCAGGAATTTGACTCGTCATTTGTTTACCTGTACTCGGGATCTCTCCTCCTTCTGTCCCCCAGATTTCGCCACAGGATTGTCTGGCTAAATTCCATTTCCTCTTCCCACATAGTCTGCCCTCTCTCAGTTGTGCTGTATCTGACCTTGGACCGATACTCCTCGTGAAGCCTGGAACAGTTAGGATTGGGTGCGTGGGCATCTGAGCTGCCCCAGGAGGCAGAGCCTTCGCCAGTTTGGCTCTGACCTTGGTGCTGGGGAGGCTGAACCCTCCAGCCTTACCTTTTCCCCCTTCCTTGACGCCCCCCTCTGTCAACCAGCTGCTTGATACAAATCACAGATCACCTTGGAGTCAGGAAAGGAACAGAATACCAATAAGAGGGAATTAACCTGTTAAGAGGCAGAGAACCAGCCCAAATCCACCAGCCAACAAGCAGAAGCTTGTGAAGTGGATAAATACCATCCAACTGTTCTTGGAAGTCAGAAAAGATAATCATATTCCATCGAGAATGAGGAAGGAGTGATAGCCCCAGATGAGGTAGGGTGGCCTACATACCGAGGGTGCCCAGGGTACCCTATACCCCAAAGCAGGGCGTGGTGACCAGGGGAGATTTGTGACCCCCAGCTCATCTCACAGGAATGGGCTGGTTTTTCTCAAACGTGGCCTCTATAGACCCTGGAATCGTCAGGCATTAGGCACCGACAGCGTAAAATCACAGTGTGGCCCATAGACTTCACAGAAAAAACAAAAAAAAAAAAAACCAGAGGGAACGGATCAGTGTGCCAACTTTTTATTTTTGTTGAAGGAGTGCATTAAGAACAAAACAGAGAAGCATTTATTGACCTCTGTCAGTTTTATCTCCTAACAGATCAGCTCTTTTAGAGCCAAATAAGCAGAAGGGACGTGTTCTTTAATAGAGAGCAGTCTAATGGGTACATTAAGCTTCAGAAATTCTCTTGTCAGTGGTTTTCTCTTGACCGGGGATCGGGGTAGAGTTTGGCAAAGTGGTCAGCACAACAGGGAACCTAGAGGCCGTTTGCCCAAATTCAAGCTTCCCCGTTTTACAGATGGGGAAGCTGGGGCTGGAAGGGCAAGGACATGTAGTATGAGGCCGAGTGTCTGCCTTACTGTCAGAGACATTTGGGGCCCTTCGCCTGCCTCATCTCTGTGGTGACAACCTTGGAAAAGAAATCATTTGATGGGTGCCCGGGTGGCCCAGTCGGTTAAGAGGCCGACCCTCGATTTCCGCTTAGGTCCTGGTCTCACAGTCCGTGAGGTGAAGCCTACATTGGGCTCGGGCTGACATCGCGGAGCCTGCTGGGGATTCTCTGTCTCCTTTTCTCCCTGCCCGCCCCCCCCC